ATAATCCTATAAAATTAGCCAAATATTCGGCTATCGAATTCAGGACGAATCGGCCATTTCATTCGGTAGTCGAATTTCTTATATTTGACTAGTGCAGTTAATATTAAGATTATTGGTTGGATCCAGATATCTATAATCTTGGTTACACTATCTTGAATGAGAGCTTCAGTGCAATAAATTTAGGAAACTGGAATTACTAAAAACCTGTTTGGCAAGTCCTGAGTATGGAGTAGTAGTGATCTTTGACAGTGCTACAGGAAAGCCAAATTTGAAACTGAGGACTGAGACCAGAAAACTAAATAACTAGATCCTTAAATGGAGGGATATACTAGCTGAACTGCCAACTAGAGGAAAAGAACTTGTGCTCTGTAAGCATGTACCAAGAGGAGGGTGACCATGAGGCATCTAAAGTCTGGGCAGACCAACCCTTCCGGGTTGCCAGCTGGAAGTAAAGGAGGGACTAGTAAGGAATTTGGATAAAAAAGAAGTTAGAATATAAGTACCGGGGTTGTTGTGAACCTCACAAGGGTAAGGAGTAGTAATGAGATCCTAATTAGGAAGGTTGTGGCTTAAGATACGGATCAGTTTATAGTAGTATCTGAAAAGATAGCTTGAGATACGAACTCAATAGTGGTAGTACAACAGGTACTTGTTAGATGAAAGTTATCAGAACATGCAGATGAATACATGGATGAAACATGTACTATTCTGTTAGGATTACTACAAGGATAAATACCATAATATAGTTTGGCTAAAGTCTTAGGGTCATTTATAGCAGTTGCTAATCTTGTATGAGTATTAGGGTAGAGCATGTTACAAAAGTGGTAGCCAGAGGATTTAAATGGGTAACTCTCTAGTTGGGTTATAGATATAGTAACTAGTGTGGAATCTAGGGCAGACTACTTAAATAGGCAACCAAAAGTTGTATATATAGCTAGTCATGCTCTCGTTAGAAATAACCAGAGAGCTTAAATAGGTAATTTCTTAGTTAGATTGCAGGTATGATAGCTAGTGTAGAACCCAGGTGGACTACTTAAATTAGACACCCAAAAGGTGCACATTTGGCTAGTTGTATCCTCGTAAAACAGATATAATATCATAACTATTTGAATAAAGCTTATGCCAATGGCCTCAGTGGTCACCATTAATATATAAAAAAAAATAATTATAATAATTTAAATTTTTACTCATCTCTATCCTAGTACACTCTAGTTTTTATGTTAATATTGTAATAAAGTTATGAATTTGATTGGTTAATAATCATGAATAGATCTATAAAAATTAATTAATTAGATAAACTTCTGTCTATGAGGGCATTTATGAAAATCGACAAAGTGTAAAATCGATTTTTTGATCATATAATTTTCTAATATCAATAGTTTTTGAACAAAAAAATTAGTTTATATTTTGATTTAAATAGTATTTATAGTAAAGAAGCTATAATATAGTAAAATTGTACAAGAAAATTTTTTTGTTAGAGTCAAAAGATTGATTTATTGGTCTAAATTTTAATAAAAATATAATTTTACAAAGCAAATATTTGTTTGAATTCTTTATATTATACCTGATTCTAATTTTTTATTAGTTAATTTATGTCAGAAAATCATATAATCAGAAAATTGATCCTATGCTCTGGTTAGTGATTAGACCTATTCAACTTGAACAATCTATCGAGCTGATTTGAGTAGACTGATGGGTATTCCCAGCCAATCACTAATGTTTGTTTATATTGGGTAAAATAGTATATATAAATCTTATTTTGCCTAATATAAACAAATATCAGTGATTTGCTAAAAATACCTGTTATTCTATCTGAATTAGCCTAATGGATTATCTGGGTTGGACAAGTCCAATCGCTAGCCCTGGTATTATTGGCATTTACAGGTTCTCTTATGTTGAACAAAAATGGACCAAGTGATTGACATCTGAGGGTTACCTCAACGTAACATATAACTATAATTTTCTTGCAATAAAATTTTATACTTTTTGTAAATAATTTTTAAAAACTTTGAGTAAAATATCTTGACAACTACTTAACTGAATTTGATAAAAATTTTTTTTATCTAAATTCTATGATATTACGATTTTAATAAAAAAATCTTTATTAAATTCAATTAGTTAGTTGTTATGATATTTTTACTTGAAGTTTTCAAACAGAAAATGCTTTGATTCTTGCTGCAACAAAATACTTAAAGTGAAATATTTTGATGATTATATAGCCAAATTTGATAAAAACTTTTTATTTATAGAATTCAAATAAAATAATTTTTATCAAATTAATTAGTTGGTTATTAATATTTAAAATTTTTAAAAAAATTAAAATATCTATTATAAATACAAGCTATAACAAAAATTTTTGTAATTCTTTATTTTTATATTTATTAATTTTATAAATAGGTATCTGTAAAGCTAGTGTACTAAATTTAGTATACATGAAAAAATTATTTAAGTTAAATATTTAACCAGGAAAATTATATTTATAACACCGTGTTATATAACACCTTATATAGAATTTTTCAAAAATCATAAATATTTTAAAATTTTACTAGGGTAACCCTTGTTGTGTAACTAAGAAAAAATGCTCCTCTCGCAATTTTACATTAGACTAACTCTAAACCTATCTCTAACGCTAACCTAACCCTAACTCTAACCCTAAACTTTAGTTGCAACAACATAGTCTAAATAATAGGGTGTTATATATAACGCGGTGTTATAAATATAATATTTCTATATTCAATAATACTTCATAATTTTGGTGCAAAAATCATGTGACAGTACACTATTAATATAAAGTTACAATATTGTAAATTTCAATGCAATTTTTTGTAACGTAAATTGTAATTTATGTAACGCCCAATCCTATCTATACCCGCAAAAATAAAGCATAAACCAATTTCTCCGACATCCTTCGTTGATAAAGTTTGCCCAATTATTAGTGTTGGTCCTGATTTATATTATTCATTCGGCAATGCAATTTAATGAGTCAAAAATTTTATAAAAACGTCTACCTTGTGATCTAGCAATCCAAATTGAATGATTTTTGGTGCTATTTGTCCAATAATACTAAAAACATTTTATTTGATTTATGTCAACAAATACTAAATTTGCATTGTCACCTAAAAAAGTTTTAAGATTTTCTAAAGCGCACGTAACTTAAAATGACATTGTCATTTAAATTATAATTTACGCGATGATATTTTTTTGAACGTCAAGACATTCGTTCTCATTCGAATTCTCAAAGTTGAAAATTTCTTAAGATTGTTATATAATCAATCTTGGTTAAAGATTTTCAACCTTAATTTATTTTTGTACGTTATAATTTTTGACTTTATATTTTATTTATGAAAATTTTAGTATCAATATTTTGTGTTTATTGACTTTCGTACCTTTGAAGGCATCGTTTGATTTGTCATTTTGGGTAATATGTACTTTTTTTTGTTCCTCTGGCCAGATTGCCACGGGACGCCATTGGCGTTCAAAGTAATATGTACTTTAATCCATATCAATCATTTGACATATCGACATTGTCGTTATTATTAATAACGTTTATTTTGTAAATTTAACAAAGTAAAACATCATCTTACTATTTTATTGAGAAAAAATTTATTGGGTTATTCTCCTGATTCCACTGAAATTATCGCAGTCAGACTCAACAAAGGTGTCATCATCATCCGAGCTTGGATGATATGATTCATCTGAATTACTTTCAACGGGAAATTCAGATGTCGTAAGATCATTCAAATTGATCTCTTTGGTTGTCTGATACATTAAAAGGATTGTTTGGATCGTCTTCCATTTCCTAGAAATATATTTTGCAAATTTTTCATTGATATAGAAATTTGGAAATAATAATTATAATGCTTTGCAAAAAGATGTGATCCCATGATTTTGTAATAATGGTTTTCGTTAGAGGTGAAATCGATGAAATTTAATTCGGTCATCATCGAGCATTGGTTAAAGCTAAAATTTACTATATATTTGTTTTGATAATAATATGTATGATTTATTATAAATAGCAAAAAAAAAAAACAATTGATGAAAATTTAATGCTATACTGAATTTTTTATATATAATTTCAATATTTTAAAAAACTTATTCAACCTTTGAATTTTCAGTCAACCCATGCTCGAAATTCTAGAGTTTGTGATCAATCAATGCTCGAAACTCATCAATTCTAAACTCCAGTTTTCGTTTATTTGTTGACAAATTTTACATATATTGAGCAATGAATGTTTTATGATTCATTTTTAAAAAGTTCATTTTCAAACGTTAAAAAAACATCACCGATATCCAAAATTAACAATGATTTGAGGAACTGAGCTATATAAGCAGAGTTAACTGTGAGATCTGAAGCAGCAAAAAAAAAAAAAGCTGTTAAGAAAAAGATTATAAAGAAATTACGATACAAGTAAAATCAAAAAAAACTACATATTCACGATCTTTCAAAATTTTGCAGATTTCTAACATTGGTACAAGATGATTTACTCCTGCTTTTAATAAAACGATTAATAAAATGAAAAGAATACTTATACAACTACAATAGAGTGTCCAGAATCGTGCAATTTAAAATGCATTTTTATTAGAGATGGCATATGTTTTAAAAGATGACCTTAAAAAAACATGTTTGTTTGATTTAAATTTGTTGGAATTTGTTTTAATACATTATGACGTAATAATGATCCAAATTGCAAAATTTAATTGAAAGTATTTATTATGATTATTAATACAGTAATACTGTATTCTAAAAAAAAAATAAATCAAATAAAAAAATCTTCAAAAATGTCTTATATTCGCAGAGGGCCCCTTTAAAGTAATCCATTTAAACTTTACAAAACAACGATTTCATCAAAATTATTGCGAAGAACACTATGTTGATTTGGTTGATCGTTTAAAAGGCCATTTATTAAAATGTAAAAAACTTCTAGATGATTCATTAAAAATTCAGTATCAAAAAGGGTCTTCAATGAGGTTTACATAGAGGTAATATTTGCAAAACAGTATGTTGATGCATGTATTGGCAAGTTAAATTAACAGAATTAATGAAAAAAATGACTATACGAATTTGTATCATTTTACCGACAATTGTTTCACGGTGAAATGGTTGTCGGTGAAATAATTGTCAGTGAAAGAAATATTATCCGACAAACTCATATGATCATGACAAACTTTCTTTTTTCATGTGTTACGATGTAATTATGTTTATTCCAATATTCAAATTAAAAACTCAGCGAGTGACTCCCGACCAATCATGATCACAAATGATTGGCTACACGTGCCGCAAAGCTCGTTTGCCAAATTACCGTTATTCGGCAATTTTGCCCAATAATGTATACATATCCACCCTCTATTTTTAAAATTGTTACTATTAAAAATTAGGATTAGAGTTAAGGTTATTAGGGTAAGTAAAAAGAAAATGGGTTGGGAAAAGAAATAAAGGTAATGCGAAATAAGAGACCTCAGTGAAAAGAGCTATATATATAAAATGTAATATAAAACGATGTAATACACATATTAGTAATTAATAAATTATGCAATATGGCGTCCCGCTAGCGGGGTTATAAAGAAAAAATAGAGTAACATTATTTAATTATAGTTATTATATTTTATTTACTAGCTAAATTAAAATCGAAAAGCATAGATACGATTAGTCATGTGATTGGAAGAATGCCGGCACGCCAAAGGTGCCGGAAATAAATTCAATTAAAGGACTTTAAGTCCGCA